TGGTAAATAAATTAGTATATAAATTTTATTTTATACAATTTTTGCTTAATTTTTAAGGTTACATATTCATGGTATGTTTATTTAAAAATGAATTTTGTTATTAAAAACAGAGTGATCCTTTCACTTCATCTGCAAGGTTTTCCCCTGTATGACACTTCTTGCCTCCATTTCCTCCCCTTTTTCTACTTATCCTTGTTAGTGATATGTAAAGGGTCACTTACCCTGATTAAAAGTCAAATTTAAATATTTTTTTAAATTTGTTAAAGGTTTCCCACCAGTAATTTACTTAACATTAAACAAAACTGTTCGGACTGACACAAAAATTCTACTTGGAAAATTTCTTAGTTTATTAAAGAAAAATCGAAATCAAGTTTCATCTATTGTTTGGACTACCCAAAATGGATGAAGTAAATATGTTGCCGTATCAGGGGTGTGACGAAACAGATTTTAAAAAGCGAAAGATAAAACACCATGTTGTGTATTCTTTTATTGAAAAAGTAGTAAAAAACTCGTTAAAATCGCATTTAAATAAACCCCCTCATTCTTACTATTAAAAATAAATCAAAAATATTTAATTGATATTGTAAATCATTTCCAACTTTTTTGAATAAAGAATTGCGATGTTCTGTGGTTTACTTGATAAAAATCTATTTAAGTTATCCCCAAGAGACGTTCTTTAAAATGTTTTTGAAACAAAGTTTTGGAAGAATAATTTAAGTTCAAAAGTATGCTACACTTTTATCTCCATAGGGATATATTGAAAAGATAATTACGCTTTTTAATTATCCCTTGTAGCAGGTAATTGTTGTTTCCTACATATTTTTACCTTTTAACGGATAATCTAAAATTTCTTTTAATATCAGTGAAAATCTCTTTTGTGGGGTGGACTTTTTGGAGTTTTTCCTTGACCTTTTTCCAACCCGATCTATGAAAAAGTTTGAAAATACAATCCGAAACTGGAAACGATTTTTTAACAAACGAGTCAATCGAGACGCAAAACAAGGCCAAAAATCAACGCAGAACGCAAAAATGTGAAAATTATTATCACTTATTAGACATTTTCAATTCGAGATTGAAGTATCACTAAATGTCATCGAGTCCTACTCGGTTTTTTAATACATACATGTAAGGGTTGGACAATTATGTATTACAATGCGCTCACACTTAATCACTTATAGTAGTTCGTTTCTTATTTTTTTTTGGTAATCTCCCATTTTTTCAGCTAAAACTTTGATAAGAAAATACGTTATAAAGTCTAAAATAATTATATAACCAACTGAATAGGTTAAAGTGTGCCAAAATTTTACACCTGCCAATTAAATATAAAAAAGCGGAAAAGATATATTTAAATTGTAAACAAAAATTAATTAAAAAGTTTTTAAACAAAGTTTTTTTTTAAATTATTAATTATGAAAATTTTCTTCCTTTATTTCAATCTAATATGTATTAAAAATCTAGGTTATTAAAATGCATATGTTTATAGTAAAAACTAATTTAAAGTCGGGCCTAACTAGTTGGGCCTAACTTTGGATATACTTTAGTCTACCGGACGCGGAAAAAATACATGAAACCGGTACCATTCGATTCGTCTCACCGAGCTGAGTCGAATGGTACCACTCTCCATCTGCGGAAATGCCTACGAGCCGAGATATAGGTCCCCGAAAATCGAATAACCATAGGGGGGAGTAAGCTCAATTTTGGGGTGAAAAAATCGATTTTTTGAATGATAGCTCATTCGAAAGAGCACCTCAAGCTGAGTCGAATGACACCAAAATCAGCTCGAGATCTTGATTCAGAGCCAAGATAAACAGGCTCAAAATGGTCAACATAAACCTATGGGGCGTAGGCGAGGCGCTTGTGCAAAACTCCGCGCTTCGCGCGGAGTTTTGCGGCACGCGCCTCGCGGGGAGTCTACGGTCGCTGGGTTCTGGGCTCGTAACATAATCCTATTCCTATCATCGATGAGGTGCATTCCTGGCTTCCTCCGCAGCAGCAAACACTCCACGGTGCCATAGGTAAGGAGCTAAAACAAACGATCATAACTTTGTCTAAACTTGTTAGATCGCGTTGATTTTGGTGTCATTCGACTCAGCTTGAGGTGCTCTTTCGAATGAGCTATCATTCAAAAAATCGATTTTTTCACCCCAAAATTGAGCTTACTCCCCCCTATGGTTATTCGATTTTCGGGGACCTATATCTCGGCTCGTAGGCATTTCCGCAGATGGAGAGTGGTACCATTCGACTCAGCTCGATGAGACGAATCGAATGGTACCGGTTTCATGTATTTTTTCCGCGTCCGGTAGACTAAAGTACAGCCCTAACTTTATTATTCACAACGCAATATTTGCTGTTGGTTCTCCAATAATTTATTTGATTTTTTCGCTTTGTGTTTTTTTCAAATCCCGTGAATTAGTTGATAGTGTTTCTAAAGAGGAGAAGATGGTTAAAATTTGATTATATAAAATCTTTCTCTACCTTAGAGATTATTTTATCCTTCCTAAAATCTTAGGGTATCCAAATATAGTATAAAAATATAGGGTAGGGGACGATTCAGTATCGCCGATTCAGTATCGCCAATTCAGTATCGCCGATTCAGTATCGCCAATTCAGTATCGCCGATTCAGTATCGCCGATTCAGTATAGCCGATTCAGTATCGCCAATTCAGTATCGCCGATTCAGTATCGCCAATTCAGTATCGCCGATTCAGTATTGGCCGATTCAGTATTTGGCTTTTTTGGCCATAACTTTTTGCTCGATCAATATTGTGGGAATTATTATATATGATTTGATAGGCCTCGGGGTGCTGCATCTTTTTCATAATTGGACTGACCTGATCTTATCAACCTACAAAAAGTTATCACTGATAAATGACGTCACAGGCATAAAAAATCGGTTTGCACGCTGTAACTTTTTTTGTGATCATCAGATCAGATCGGGCCAATTATGAAAAAGATGTCGAATCTCGAGACCTTTCGAATGATATGAGAATTATTCAAATCGGTCGAATATCAGGAAAGTTATGGCCATATACTGAATCGGCGGATACTGAATCGGCGATACTGAATCGGTGATACTGAATCGGCTATACTGAATCGGCGATACTGAATCGGCTATACTGAATCGGCGATACTGAATCGGCTATACTGAATCGGCTATACTGAATCGGCGATACTGAATCGGCTATACTGAATCGGTGATACTGAATCGGCTATACTGAATCGGCGATACTGAATCGGCGATACTGAATCGTCCTTAACCGAAAAATATAGGTACTTATGTAGTATCTCCCCACATGTCCGCAAATGTTTGTCTGCAACTTTTCTTCTTTTCCTTCTTCTCTCATAGAGATTAAAATGGTCAAAGGAATAATTTGATTAAGGGAGGCAATATAAGGAAAGCATCATTTTTGAATTAAATTAGTGTATTATATTTATTTGTAGAGTCAAATTTGCTCGTAAAGATCAATAATTTTTCGGGTAATTTTGTCGAATGACACAATTGTGACATTTATGTCGAATTACAAAAAAAATGTGATCCGACAAGTTTACTTCTTATGTCATAACCAAAAACATCAACTAGGTCTCCCCTATGGTTTTTAATTTTTTAGGGTCTGTATCTTGGTCCAGTCATGGTCCAATCGCGTTGCATGAGATGTCATTCGGCATAGCTTGATGTGTTTTACATTCCTTAGACAGACTGACCAGTTCGTCCATATTTAACAAAAAAAATTGACCGGGGCCAAATAAGTGCAATTACAAAATATATTATTATCAAAAAATATTCATCAAAAAAATATATCTTAAAATATTATTCGTCATCATGAAATGATAGATTATGCTTCAATTTTAAATAATAGTAGGAATGTCACTACTACATATCTATACGATTTTTTGCTTGACCCCCAACCAACTAAAGTTAAAACCCAGTTGCAGTCAAATTTTTAAAAATACCGTATATTTTCAAGTAACCGGTATTTGTCAAAAATACTGGTAAACAATTAAATTATGTAATTATTAAAAATATAAATATATTAAAATAATTATTATGTAATTATCATACTAAAGTAAAAAAACAAAAATTTAATGTCTCATATTTTTAAAATAAATTTGAAAGTGTTTGGGATAATGAGCGGTACTTTTCCGTTATGACGTAACAAATCTTAAATGTTTTTAAAGTGTTAAAAATGTAAAATACAATTAACAAGGTGGCATAAATGCGACTATATTTGCTCTAAAATTTTGATACCCAAAATTCTCAAAATTTTCGCCTGCGGCGCAGAAAAGGGAAGAAATCTGGTTGAGAGACAACTTTCCCCCTATCGGTATAATTTATGCAGATGGAGATTGACGGACTGGGAAAATATTTTTTTATAATTTATGCGTATGGGACGTACATATTCTCTAGCTATGTGACCATTTTTAACACTAAAAACATTTAAAATTTGTTGCGTCATAACGGAAAAGTACCGCTCATTATCCCAAACACTTTCAAATTTATTTAAAAAATATGAGACATTAATTTGCTCGAAAGATGAGACATTAAATTGTTGTTTTTTACATTAGTCTGATAATTACATAATAATTTATATAATTACATTTTTAATACCTCTGCGTCAAAATGATAGCTCCACCTCTATTTTTTATTTTTATTTCCAAATTTGTGAACTAAAAAATAAATATAAGATTTTGTATCTAATATTCATCCTATCAAGACAAGCTCAAAAACATACAAAACAGAAAGAGTTTCATTAAGTATATTTTAAACAAGTCTGATGTGCGTCAAAATGATAGCTCCACTTTTAAAAAGCCTAGTTAGAGGGCAGCTAAAATTCCCCAAAAATTTCTGTGAATGTGACTATCGATAAGTATCCAAAATATAAAAAGAATGATGTCGAAATCTATCTTCATCACAGCTTATACACCTTGTTATAGTAGATAGTCTCTTCTATTCTGTCCATCTGTAAAATTTTTTTTTCTAAAATTTAGTATTATTTTATATAATGGAATATATTTTGTGGAATCGTAAGGACTTTGATATAGTCTATAATTGTACAGGAATTAATGTAGATGATGTTCCTATTGAAAAAAGAAGATATCCAATAGCTGCAATTATTTGTATAATACTTGGATTTATATATTATGTACTAAATTTCTTAAAGATTTTTCTAAAATTTAAATTTAAGCCTCTATATTTCCCTTGTCTCTACTCTTTTTGGAAAAATAGAGCAAAAAATCCTTGTTATTTACTGCTAGTTTTTCTTTCAATTTTGGATATGTGTATACTTTGGGTGCCAAGTTTTGCATTTGGAATTTTTAGTTTGAACGGTGATGTCTACTGTTCTTCACCAATATCCACCTACTTTGTTGGTTGTGCCACTTTATGTATGTGTTGCAATATGAGGGTTAATAGCAGAGATCGGAATTTTGTTCCGTACCATCCAACCTTAATTTTGTTTGTCGATGGTGTAGTGGTTAAGTTGACTGTCTTCGCTCACTTTGGTGTTTTTGGGTTATGGGATTGGGGGGTTAATGGGATTCATAAAGAACCTAACGCCCCTGGTCTTTCAAAATTCTCAAAATTTTCGCCAGCGACGCTGAAAAAGGAAGTAATAATAATAATATAATAATCATTTAATTATGTAATATTACTAAAAACAATCCAAATATGCATTATTAACTGTTTCAGGCACAGTTAATAATGCACAAGAATTCTGCCTTGATATGTGTATTTATTAATAATATTTAGATTTTTGGGCTGCTGAATGTTCTGCTGATTTGGTCACATAAATAAATTAAAAATTGCTAAAAATTGATATTTTTTCTAGATTTTGGGAATAAATCGTTGTGTTGAAATGGCATTTCCAAGAATTTCTAAAAAACTTTTTCACAATAATCGTGTCTATATTTGGATTATTTTCTGTAATCTATATGGACTTTATTGGCTTTTATTTCGACATCCTTATATTTTTAATGGAATAATATTTGAAGTTTCCTTTGAACCATTAACTGGATATAAAGATTTTAGAATGGAATTAGTAATTTAAATATTAAGATTTGCAATTTTAACATTTGAAGCTCAACGAGGATTTGAGCTGGCTCACTATACACGACACAGGATTGGCTCTTGCTTCTCCAATAATTTATTTGATTTTTTCACTTTGTGTTTTCTGCAAAAGCCGTGACTTTGTGTTTCTGTGTGTGTTTTTCACTTTGTGTTTTCTGCAACTGCCCCCGACCAGTGTAGCAATTTTACCCTTAACTGAGGGTTATTTGACCCGAGTAAATAATTTATTCTACCAATGTGAAAAGCTACTCGGGGTTTTGGGTTAAACTACCGGGTTGTTTAACCCTGAACTCAGAGTAGGAATTTATGCTGCGGGTTGCGAGTTATTTGACCCTCGGGTAGGGGTTAAATAACCCTTACCCCGAATTTATTCTACGGGCCCTGGTAATCAAATCAAAATAATTTTTACTGAATAAAATCGAGGTGTTCAAAAGTTTTTTCGTACACAAAATCGAGGTTCGACTAGGTCCAACTATATTTATCTTTTTCTAATAAATTTTTTAGTCGATCAAAAATTATTTAAATATGAAAATTTTATTTTTTATTTTTGTAATTTTTTTGTTAAAAATTGTTGAAGGAAATATTCGAGCATTGCCTCCACACTATTTAGGTGTTCCAGGATTTAAGAAATGTTTAACAAGGTTATTGAATTTTTGAAAATTTTTATTTTTTTCCACTTTTTTGTGGTTTTTTTAAACCCAAAAGCAGAGTTGGTTATTGGCTCAGGTCCTTTCAAATCCCAACTCGGGCATTTTTCAAATCTAGGCTCAGGGTATTTGACAAAATTCGGCTCCGGGTACTTTCAAATAGAGTTGGACGGGACCGGGCGGTCGGGATCGGGGCGTTTTTGAAACCCGACTTTGCCAATCCCGATTCCGAAGTCGTGATCGGGACCGGGAACGGAATCATTATTCCAAAATCCAAATCCCGATTTTACGTCGGGATCCACGCCCAACTCTTCTTTCAAAAGTCAATTCTTAAAGCTATACACAGATTGCCAGTAATCCTATCTAAGCCCAGCATTTATATGCACGGAGAGTTTCTTATAAATAGAGAGGGTCACATTACTGTATTAATTAAATTTTTAATCTAAAAACGATTCAGTCTAGGCAAAATTCCCCCAAATAATTTATCAAAAAAATAATTTTTTAGCAAGGAATTAAACGATGACCTTGAAGTTTGGTGTTTCCCTGAAAAGAAACCTGCTAAATGCGACCCTAAATCATGGGCACAATTAAAAGTATTTTTAAATTAAGAATGTTTAAATAAATTTAATATATTTAAAGGAAAATCAGGAACATGATGGACTTAAGCAATGTTGTGATATTTGAGAATAAAATTTTTGACAAAATAAATGTTGAAATTAAAAATAAATACTTATACATATGTTCTTTATTTAATTTATAATTAAATTTTAATAAAGGTTTCGTTCAGTCAACCGTAATTTTTAGGTACTAGACAGGGCTGAGCTTCTTGAGCTGAAAAACTTCTCGCGCTGAAAAACGTGAAAAATGCGAAATTAGCCCAGCCCTGGTACTAGGGGTAGTTCTTCTCCTTTTCCTCCTACCGCAGAGGTCGTCACGTAACAGGGATTTGTGGATCCTTCCATCCGTGTCGACGCAGAAGACCCACAGACAGAAGACCCAAGGACAGAAGACCCACAGACAAAAGACCCACAGACAGAAGACCCACAAGGACAGAATACCCACAGACAAAAGACCCACAACTATTTTTCAGTTTTATTTTGGAGCAAGGGATGTTGTTAATTTTATTAGTTTTCCATAATAAAAGGGTGATCCAACAACGGGAAAAGTTGTTTCGATATTAGCAAAGGTCGTTCCAATAATCGGGAAGGCTGTTCCAACAATGTAGGATGTTGTTCCAATAACGGGGAAGTTGTTCCGACAACGGGGATGTTATTTTAACAATGGGGGATGTTGTTGCAAAAACGGGTCAAGTTGTTCCAACGATGGGAATCTTGTCCCAATGACAGGGGAGCTTGTTTAACGAAAGGGTTTTGATTCCCCGGATTTTCGGGATTTTTAATCCGGTCCAGGTCATATCAAAAAACATAATCTGATCAGGTTCAGATATAATAAATGATATAAAAATAGCTAATTGGCCTTCCAAAATTCAAAGAATTTTCACCTAGGTTGTTAAAAATGTAGAAATGTTGTTTCTTGCCCTTTCAAAATCCCCAAAATTTTTGTCTGCGACAATGAAAAGAAAAAGTAGATCAAAGGGACATTTAGTATCAACGGGTATTCAAGATAAACTTAATACCCCTTGATAAAAGATTAACTAATACACCTTTTATCCTTCTATATCCCTCCACATGGAGGGATATAGAAGGATTAGAAGTTATCAAGGGTATTGGAAATCTGCAAGGATGTCGTTGATAATTGGTATTAGCAGAGATTAGGTAATTATTTCGAGTAAGATGGAGGGATATCGCTTGATAAAAGCGGATTAGTAGAATTAAAAATGCTTAAAAAGTTTAAATCCGTTTATATCCCTTTAAATCCCCTGACATATCCGATTTTCTGTTAAAGAGAGATATCGGAGAGAGGAAAGTTCCTCTTAAGTTTTGGTTAAAAAATTTTTCTTGTGGGTCTTTTGTCTGTGGGTATTCTGTCTTTGTGGGTCTTCTGTCTGTGGGTCTTTTGTCTGTGGTTCTTCTGTCCTTGGGTCTTTTGTCTGTGGGTATTCTGTCACTACGCCCCTTCCATCCGTCTCAGAATTCCGGTTTTTCGTCCTTTAGCTTCCGCGTTCTGTCTGTCTCTTTTGATTTTTTCGTATTTCCATTTCTAGTTATTCCTTATTTTAGTGGTAGTTTTTGGAATTTTGGTGACTTAAGTGGAGCATGATTTTCATAAAATCTATTTTTATCTAAAAACAAATCAAATACAATTTTATTAAATCAGAAATTAAAAATTCAAACGCCAGGCATAATCTCAAATCTTCCTTTTGTCGATTTCAGACCCTGAAGGAAGAAAATAGTCCCAAACGAGATCACAGAAAGGAACGAAAGTATTATCGGTATTAAAATAAATAAAATTAAATTTTCTTTTATTTGTTTCCTTCTTCCTTTCAATTCCTCTTTTTGTTCAAATTGTTCGCTTTTTAAACGTTTTTCAAATTCTGCACGTGTACGGACTACACACTTGCGCATGTTTGATAATGTACGGAAGAATGGGCATCCCTTTTAAATTTTTTTTGAAATTTTTTTGTTTTAAGACTAACCAGGGAAGGACAAAAATAGCTTTCTTCAGCTATTGATACTTGATGTCGGGAGGAAAGGTTGTAGCGAGGACCGGCAATTAAACGGTTCCATAGCCATTTTGCTGCATATGTATGGCCAAGACTGTAATTAATTTATATATAGTCAATTCACATATGTCTGTGAAGAAGCTCTCCATATAATCGACTCCATCTATAAGAACCTTCTATATTATGGATTCCGTTTATGGCGACTCAGTCTAATGAAAGATAGTCTCTATGGAGACACATAGGATTTCAGATTTCTCTCCTAAAACAACTCTTTATTTAATGAATTCTTTAAGTACTCTTTCTATAGGCTCTCAGTGTCCACTAAATTCATAGGGACTATCTGTAATTCCCAAAATAAGTCCACAAAGGGCGGCTATAATTCAGGACCTCTTAAATTTCTTCATGAAACTCTCCTTCCCTGAAATCCACCTATTTATGGAAATAAGGCAATATTCAAAAACAATTTCCTTGCCTATTAAGAAGAGGAAATTCTGACAGAAAAAGTTGTCTACATGCTCCTGTTGGTGATTTGGAAAGGGTCACTTACCCTGATTAAAAAACAAATTTAAATATTTTAAATAATTATAGGTTTCCCACCAGTAATTTACTTAACATTAAACAAAACTGTTCGGACTGACACAAAAGTTCTTCTTGGAAAATTTCTTAGTTTATTAAAGAAAAATCGAAATCAAGTCTCATCTATTGTTTGGACTACCCAGAATGGATAAAGTAAATATGTTGTGTATCAAGGGTGTGCCGAAACAGATTTTAAAAAGCGAAAGACAAAACACCATGTTGCGACAAACCCTCATATTCTTTTATTGAAAAAGTAGTAAAAAACTCGTTAAAATCGCATTTAAGTACCCCCTCTTTCCCACTATTAAAAATAAATCTAAAAATATTTTATTCATATTGTAAAACATTTCCTTTTTTGAATAAAGAATTGCGATGTTCTGTGGTTTACTTGATAAAAATCTGTTTATTTTTTAATTTATCCCCAAGAGATGTTTTTTAAAATATTTTTGAAACAAAGTTTTGGAAGCATAATTTAAGTTCAAAAGTATGCTACACTTTTATCTCCATAGGGATATATTGAGAAAATAATTACTCTTTTTAATTATCCATTGTATTATGAAGTTGTTGCCTCTTCATTTTCACTATTAACAATAATTCTAAAAAATTTCCTTTTCTAATATCAGTGAAAATCCCATTTGTGGATTGGACTTTTTGGACTTTTTCCTTGACTTTTATCCAACCCGATACGAAATAAAGTGTGAAAATACGATTCAAAACTGGAAACGTTTTATTTTCCTAACGACTTCCCTGCTGCATACAAAGAATCTTGCCTTACCAAATCTGAAAGTCGGAAATCATTTTTATGCCGGCACGATCCCCTGCTATAGAAGAAAGAGTTTAGCAAAAGTATAGCCATTCGGCAGTATGCAACAATGCTGACAGTGCTCGCTCGGACTTGCTCACAAAAATACAGGTGCTTTTTCTTTTACCCTTTTTAGATCGTTTAACCCTCGCCTAGGGTGTTTTAATTTCGTTTCTTGTTGAATCTCGCGCTTTCCATCATTAACTTTCAAAAAATGAAATAAAGTATAAACTAATTATACTCAACTGACTAGAATTAATGTAAAAGATAATTGTTTAAAAGTGTGCCAAAATTTACATCTGCCAATTTAAATAAAATAGTAAACAGATGTTTGTGAATTTTAAAGGGTAAACACAAATTACTGAAAGTTTAAACAAAGTTTTTAACTATTAATTATGAATTTTTTTCTTTTAAATTATAATTAAATATTAAGAAATTGAAGTCGAAACAAAGTTAACATGTTAATATATAAAATCTTGTCTGGCCCCTCTATAAGTCCCACCCATTCTCAAATTACTAGATGTACTTCATGTTAAGATACCTAAGTTTTTCAACCTATCTATTGAAATTGGGAGTCATTTAGGCGACACACTTCATTCTAAGAGACAATCTTTTTCAGTCTAAGAGCGTATTTCAATTTCATTTCCTAGTGGTCTAATTGTAATTTTAATTTAGTATTGGTCAATGTGTGGGAGGAAAACTTTTCTGATTTCTATTTATGATACATTTTTAAACTGACAGAGTTGACCACAAAGTGGGTGGGGTGGGGAAGGGAGGGTATCTATGTGACTCTCTCTATTAAAGACAAACCTTTAAAACATACAATATCTTTTTAGTCAAAGGGCATTTCTTATGTCTAGTTTACTGTTTTATTTATTAACCGACACCTTCTATTTAATATACACCTCGTTATAGTAGACAATCCTTTCAGAACAGAGCTTTATTACTTCAACTTTAGTATAGTTTTATATAATGGAATATATTTTGTGGAATCGTTATGAATTTGACATTATTTATAATTGTACAGGAATTAATGTAGATGATGTTCCTATTGAAAAAAGAAGATATCCAATAGCTGCAATTATTTGTATAATACTTGGATTTATATATTATGTAGATTTTTTGAATGAATTTTTTTTTATAAATTTAAATTTAAGCCTCTATATTTCCCTTGTCTCTACTCTTTTTGGAAAAATAGAACCGACAATCCTTGCTATTTACTGCTAATTTATCTTTCAATTTTGGACATCATATATCTTTGGGTACCAACCTTTGCAGTCGGAATTCTTAGCTTAAACGGGGTTGTCTATTGTTCTTCACCAATATCTACACAATTTGTTGGCTATGTCTGTCTATGTAAGTGATGATATATGAGGGTTAATAGATCTATTAACTCCATAAACATGTAAAATACATAACCTGCTGATCATGGATCGCGCCCCTCGGGACAGACCTTTCCTGGAAATTTAAGGATTTTTTCATTGTTTTTTGTAAGGACAATGTTCAAGTTCATACTAAGACAAACGAAAATGTCTAGACAAGAGAGATTGGACCGAAACGAGTCTCGTACAACCATCTTGGTTATCAAGAATAGTGACTTTTCGAGATATCGATAATGAATCTCGTACGGCCTTCCCAGTTGGAGCTCTATTAGACATTTCAAGAGAAGTCATGAACTTAAGATAATATTTTTAATATTTTTTAGATTTATGGGCTGCTGAATGTTCTGCTGATTTGGTCTCATAAATACATAAATTAAAAATTACTAAAAATTAATATTTTTATAGATTTTGGGAATAAATCGTTGTATTGAACTTGCATTTCCAAAAATGTCAAAAAAACTTTTTCACAACAAACGTGTCTATATTTGGATTATCTTCAGTAATTTATATGGACTTTATTGGCTTTTATTTCGACATCCTTATATTTTTAATGGAATAATTTTTGAAGTTTCCTTTGAACCATTAATTGGATATAGAGATTTTCGAATGGAATTAGTAAAATTTAAACTATTAATTGTTGGGTAAAGAGAGGATAAGGAATTGGGATTGAGTGGGAATGTGTGGGGGCTACCCGAGATCCTAACTTGCTTCTAAACTAATTCACCACTGATGCCGGAATGAATTAATAATCATAGAGATTAACATAGATTGAGTAGAAATAGAACAGATAGGATCTCATGCAGTTGATAATAATGGGGAAAATGAACTTACAATTGGAATAGGATTTAAGTGGAGGACAGTATTTGTTATAGGGCTACAATTAAATTTATTTAGTACTTTTAATATTTTTAGTTTAATGAGGATCTGAGAGAATTTACTATACACAACACAATATTGGCTATAGGCTCTCCAATAATTTATTTAATTTTCTCATGTTGTGTTTTCTTCAGAGCCCGTGAATTAATCAGCAGTGTTTCAAAAGAGGAGAAAATGGTCTGTAAAAACGGGAGAAGATGTCTCTTTTAGAAAATTACCCAGGGCTTAAAAATTATACCTTAAAATTACGTGTACTTAAATAGAGAGTATTGCTTTGGCAAGTATCAGGCTTGTATGTTGAAACTGAGTCAACTTGTGCTGTAACTGAAAATGTGAAACACAAAAAAGGCAAAAATTCAGCGAAAGGCGAAACGGCAAATCCCTAGGATGTATCTATCTCCCAGTGGAAAATTTAAAAAAAATACCGTATTACTGGGTAATTATTGTTTCAACCTATTACTCGAGAGTGTAATATCAGAAAGGCGAAACGGCACATGCCTGGCATTACCACATACAACGGTTCATCCATAGGATGTATTCTACCCTCAGGCAAATTAACAAAAATGCCGTATTATTGGGCAATCATTGTTTCAATCTAGGGTTGGTCCCCGAGCCTTCGGGGTTGGAAAAGTCGGGGTCGGGGTCGGGGTTTTAGGTCAAAAAATGTCGGGGTTCGGGGTCGGGGTCGGGGTTAGTCGGGGTCGGGGACCAACCCTATTTCAATCTATTACTCGAGGGGGTAATACATAATTCGAGAGAGGCATAGTATCTTAGATAAAGATGTTTTTAGTTTCGGAGTATCCAAAATTGGGGTTCAACAATCTAAGAAAATTTTAATATTTTAAGGTCTTTCTTCAAGTGTTTATCATTTCAATGTTCAACACCTCCGCAGGTATTGTTTATGCTTACAATATGAATCATTCAGATCACGGAATTTTGCCGTTAATGATTGCCCATTTTTCCTGGTAAATTTCAATTAAAATTTAATTTTTAAATTATTTAATTTTAGGTTGAACATTCATGGTAATTAACTTTAAGTTATTTAAAAGTAAAATTTTTTATAGGGTTCCCACCAGTAATTTACTTAACATTAAACAAAACTGTTCGGACTGACACAAAAATTCTACTTGGAAAATTTTTTGGCTTATTTAAAACAAATCAGAATCAAGTTTCAAATATTGTTGGATATAACATTTCTAATCAGAATGTATAATAAATATTGTACTGCAGTCAGACCTAGTTAAAAGATAAAATTTTGGGAATGAATTCCTCCTATAATGAAGTGTGTCGTAAATTTGAGTGAGAAACTCATTCCTCCAGTGATTAACAAGATTTGAAAATATATCGAGTTTCTTGATAATTACCCTGGGTAATTATTCTTCGACATCTCGCCTGATGGGTAATTAATCGAACATGTTTGGCAAGAAAATTTTCCCTGTAGTTTAAACCAGACTTTGTAATGGACATGGATTTTTGTATCCGTATCCGGATATTTATGGCGGATATCCGCAGGCATTTTGAAATTATTGTATCCACATCAGTATCCATTAACAAGCATGGTTTAAATCATAAGGGCCAACAAAATTTTAATAACGGTAACTTAAATTGGAGTGTATCTTGCAATGGGGGTTTCATAAAGTTAAAAGTAGTCTAAATATTTTTTTAATTTTCAAAAAATTTTATCAAACATAAAAATAAAATTGTTAGAAAATTAAGAAAAAATAAAATTTAACTATACATAAAAATAATCCAATTATGAAATGATTGGAGTAATTTGGTTTATCTGATTGTTATTAACAACTCTTGGAACAACAGATATTGGAGTTGACGAATTATTAAATATTTTTTTGAAAAATGTTTTGATTAATTGAAATTCTTTTAAGTAAGCTTCTCTGTAGTCAGAACTATAATATAAAAATAAATTTTGGATTTATTAAGCTTTGAATGCCATAAGAAATGTTTTTGTGGATTCAGGGCTTATTCAAAGCATATAGGTACCGTATTTGCTCTATTAATCCCCCTGTCTTTATTAATCCCCCAGGCTCTATTAATCCCCCACCCTGGAGATGGGTTGAAACTAGAGACCGGCAAAATCGTGTTTGCGGGATCCCGCATGCGGGATTTTTTTTTCAAAATCTTTGCGGGACGGGATCCCGCGGGATAAATCCCGCAAAATCCCGCATCCCGCAAAATCCCGCAATTTAAATTTGCGGGATCCCGCGCGGGATTGCGGGATTTTCCAAAAATTGTTAAAATTATCAATATCTAGTTAAAAAATCAATTTCCTAATCATTATCGGGTTCTTAAATCATTAACGAGCTAATAAATATTCGTCAGAAAGTTCGAGTATACAAATTAGAATACGGAGCATACCTCAGTTCAGTCTGGATCAATTCAGTATGGACCTTTTACTCATCAAGGAACGGTCACTGACATGTTCTTGATACCATTGGATAGAGGAAAAATTTCGAGATTTTAGAATCAAGGGCTCTACAAATTTTCAAAAAATCAGAATTTTTGACCGATTGATAAAAAAGTTATGATATAAAAACCAACTTTTTCAAAAAAAACGTGATTTTTTGGCACTTTTTCGAACATAAATTTTTTACCAGTTAGTCAAGATTTTTGATTTTCTAGTATATGGTAGATTATTTAATGCTATATCAAATAGTACCAGGAACATTAAAAATTATCGGCCCCTTCAAAAGTTATAGGGCGCGCAACTGAACTGAGCCCAGACTGAAACGAGGTGTACATGTTAAATGGCTTGAGCTGAAACAAATGGGATCAATCATCGTGATCTAACAATTTGGGCAATCTTGTTTTTATGAAATAGAGATGATTCCATGGGCGGCAGGCGAAAATTTTAGAAGGCCAAGTATCGAAATTCCTTCGTTTTCAGCGCCGCAGGCGAAAATTTCGAGATTTTAGGAAGGCCAGCGAGCCAAAATTCTCCTTTTTCTAGCGCCGCAGGCGAAAATTTTTTGATTTAGAAGGCCATGAGCCAAAATCCTCTATTTTCCAAAAATCCCGCAAAATGCAAAATATTTTGCGGGATCCCGCATGCGGGATTTTTTTCAAAAAGCTTTGCGGGACGGGATCCCGCGGGATAAATCCCGCAAAATCCCGCATCCCGCAAAATCCCGCAAATCGAAAAAAGTGCGGGATTGCGGGAGCGGGATCCCGCAAAATCCCGCGCGGGATCCCGTCCCGCGCCGGTCTCTAGTTGAAACAATAATTCCCCTCTTTCTACCCCACTCTAATAATCCCCCAGGCTCTATTAATCCCCCACCCTAGAGATGGGTTGAAACAATAATCCTCCTGGGGGATTACTAGAGCAAATACGGTAGTTGGTATGGAAAGGTTGGTCGGAATTCCGATTTCCGACGTTTTACTTCAGATCCACGAAAATCTAATAAAATTTCTGATTTTCGTGATCGCTAAGATTGCCCCGACTGATAACGGAGAATCCGCTAGCTACTTCATAAGATTTTGGATATTATAAACACAAAAAATATTTCATTAACGAAAAAACTAGCCTATTTATAAATAAAATTGGGGCATTTGCAGCTAAACCAACAAGTAAAATAACAGAAACATATGTTGAAATAAACCAATTATCAACAGCAAGAATTTCTTTCTTCTTTGAAGAGTCTCCAGCAGAGCTGCGTCGAAATAAAAAAATCTTCGAAATTCGGAAATAGAAAATCGAAAGAAATCCAAAAATATCGAAATCGAAAATCGAAATTTTATAAAAAAATTCGAAAATCGGAAATCGAAAATCGGCAGAAAAAAACGTCGAAAATCGAAAATCGGTAATCGAAAATCGAAATTTTTTAAATAACTAAAAGAGTAGTAAACAACCGCAATATGGAGATATAAGGGTTAATCTTGAGATATAAGGGGATTCAATGGATTAATGGAAGTCTTAAGAGATATCAGTGATCGTAAGGATATACAGGATTAGGAGGTTGACTCACTTTAAATCCTTTATTCCTCAGATATTCTACTTACCCCTTGATACCCTTGATATCCCATCCTCCTATATCCCTCTTATTATTGTACGGCAAATGGATTAATTGGAGGCTCGGGTGGAAAGTCATGAT